CTTGTTGACATTTGTTGCCAGGGGGTACCCGTCTCATTGCTGTTTTGGGATGCGATGATTCTCCATTTGAAGAACATGGCCGCCAGTCGGAGTCTTCTTCGGGTGACGATGATGTGGAGTTCGCACTTACCACTCCTTCGGAGTACCTCTTCGTTGAAGATGCGATCATAGTATCGGTGTTACATGCCTGTGATGCACGTATGTTTTGTTTTTCCTCTTTTTTTTCTTTCTCTCTCTCTTTTCTTTCACCCAACCAGATTGTGGTGCAGGTGTGGATAAAAGGACCAATGTGGACATCAAATGCTTGGCTGTGCTCTTCTCTCTACCAATCCAGATGGCTGCTTTCTGCCGAGGGGCGGGCCTTGGCAGATGAAAGGATTCACCTGAGACTAGTTATGGAGGAGAGCGTTTAGCGTGCAGGAGACTTGTGGTGTCAAGCTGTGAATATGTAGCCAGTAATGCTAGTCTCTAGCTCCCTCTCTAGCTCTCTCTCTCTCTGCTGTTTTCTCTCTCCCAGCGCATGTGTGGACAGGCAAGTTGGGCGCGCCTATACATATGCACACACAATAGTGGTCGGATTGTTCAGACACAACAGGTACGGGGCGAGTGCCACCCGCTGTATTTTGGTGAGGATTAGCCTTGGCTAGGTAGATTAGACTTTGGTTTTCTTGGTTTAATTTCTTTGGCACCATCCTCCGTCCACCCTTGCGGTTGGTTGGGTCCCCTTAGTCAATGTTCTTGCATACTTGGTGGTTAGTTAACTCCTTTTCTTTTAATCTATACACATTCAGCTCAGCTTATTGTATTATCCCTCTTTCCTTGTAAATATATTGTTCCTGTATCAGACACTTTTGCAAGTGAGCCAGCTGCTGTTGTCCAACTATGATCCCCCTTGTTTGACCTGTGGTGTTCATGTACAACTTTCGATTTCTTGGTGCTTATCCTGAGGCTTTGTTCACTTTACTGTCCAGGTTGGCTCTCGCTGCTTGCAGCTTCTCCTCGTCTTCTTCAAGCAGAGTGATGTCGTTGGCAGAATCGAGGTCTTCCAGGCGGTCTGGATCAGACCTGTGGACACTGGCCCCAATGCGTGCTCCTGCTCACTGCATGACGCAGTCCAGGGCGATTAGGAACAACAGTGGGGACAAGATGCATCCCAGTCTGACCCTGATGACGATCTTGAAAGTCTGTACGACCATTCTCAATTTTCACACAGCAGCTTGAGCTCAGGTTAAGTCCCTGAAAAGGATGATAAAGACCGACGGCACACTTAAGAGTGCAGGATCTGCTGAAGAGACTCTCAATGGATGCCGCTGAATGCTTTCTTGAAGTCGATAAAGTTGATGGCCAGCGATTGCTGGAACTCAACGCACTATTCTAAGATGTTACAGAGGACAAAGATTTGTTCACTGCAGGATCTTCCATCATGGAATTCAGCTTGTTCCTCACTCAGGGCTTTTTACAGTTGCCGGAGCAAAGCCACGCAGAAAGCCCTCCCAGGTACTGAGGGTGATGCCATGCCAGTTAGTACATTCAAAAATGTTGCCTTTCTTTGGGATCTTAACTATCGCACTTCTACCAATCTTCTGGGATGTCTGCATTTCACCAGCATTGTTAAGCGGAGTCGTCAGCTCTTTGGCTATGACCTGGCCGCTGTGTCCTGGAAAAGTCGAGGGAAATGATTTCCTAGAAAGCGTATAACTCTGTCTAGCCATCATTATCAAGACAGTCATTTCCAAAATCATTATAGTTTAGACTGGTGTCCTTTTTGACATGAGGAACAGGTTAAACTGTGCAAATCTGTCATCATTCAGAGATAAATCAGTAAACAAACAAACAAACAAACAAAGTACTAGCCATTAAAGGAAGAGCCAGGACTGTCCTTTAGCATTCAAAACACATCTTTTACATTTACGGTTGCATTTGTTTAGCAGGAGCATTCAGCTGCCCTAGGCTAGGCACAACCATCGTTTCCAAAATGACAGTACTTCAGAATGTGCTCACTTATCACTCTACTGACATAAATCAATAAGTAAATGAAAATAAAAAAAAAAAAAAAAAAACTACCAACCAAGGAACCAGGTGCTTCTTTTCATTAAACTTAAATCATCTTTTCCATTAATGGTTAAGTTCAACATTTGCATTTGCAACATTTGCCCTCAATCCTAAATAAAACCATCATTTCCAAAGTCACAGCACTTCAGACTGGCTCTTCTTCTTTGATACAGAAATAAGTATAAACTGTGATATTCAGATATAAACGAATGAACAAATCAGCAAACAAACAAATGTACAAACTGCAACCCATGCAGGAAAGCAGACCCGAAGAGGACGCTTTTATTGCAACTTTTCAAAGTTTATTTCTTGTGCCAGTTTCTAAACATTGCTTTTTGAACTGGGAGTACTGGTTAAAATCATAGGTTTAGAGAGTAAGAAACTGCATGCGGCCTTTTGAGCCTCCAGCCCTGCCACCTCGGCCACGGGAGCTGGGTTCACTTTGCTAAACAGAAAATACAGTGAACTAAAGATCAGAGCGGAAACATAGGGCTCAGCGCTTGGCACATAGTGGACACATACTGAGGGCTGACCTTCAGAACAACGACAACAAAAAAACAAAAACAAAAATGACAACTGGAATTAGATGCATACAACCAATGACTAAACATAAAACAGAAAAAATCAACTAAAAAAATAAAAATCACAACTACAGCAGTTTTTCATTTTCTTCAGTTAGCACAGGAAACCATTAATAGTAGAAAGACAGCAAAAGTTGAGACTACAAATCGTAGAAGTGGAAATGAAAAGCGTAGATAAATGAATCGGCCAAGAGAGCGGGACCAAAGAGACAGAAAGAGAAAGACAGAGATAGAGAGAGTGTTACATTTAAGAAAATAAAAGAAAACTCTATGCAGAGGTAGAGTTCAGTGCAAGGCTAACACACCCCTCACCAGCCCACTGCCTCCTGAAGTCACTCCAGCATCCAAACGCCAGGCTGTAACCTCACAAACATACGTGCATACAATAAATAGAATAATACAATCTTTGAATACTTCTACACATCTCTCCATTGCACCCCACTAATTCCTCGAATCAATTTTCTGCCAATCCAACGAAAGTGCAAAGGGCCTTTGAAAGCACAGAGCTACCATCTCACAGGACACTTCCTACTGAAATCCAGTCCCTTTTCACATTAATCTCCAGTTGATATCGAGTTTCTAGACTAGACTTCATTCAGATTCACGTTTACAGGGCATTTAACTATTTGAAATCTCTTTTTAACCCATTTATGTCCAATAACTAAATGTATTATGCCACAGAACTTGTTTTCTTTGGAGAAACATCTACTAGTACCCATGTCAATTTCTCTGAATATATTCATAATTCATAATTCACACAAGATTTGGAATTCCTGGTCTTCTGCTAAACATTAGAAGACTCAATGTATTGTGGTAAATTAACTGATCTCACTTTTTAGCCATACGGTTTGACGGATTTGTGTTCTGGTAAGCTCAGAGAACATATTCACCAAATGACATTGAAGATTCCTGATATGGACACCAATGGGTTAAGTTCAAATTCGTTCATATTTACTGATTGCCAGTGCAAGCTCCAGACAGCATGCACCACACAAAAGGCCAAACTACAATTCACAAACCAATACATGTAAAAAATACATGACTTTGGGGTGGTATTCATGGTAGAAGTGTATTACATAAAAGAGAACAAATTTTAATCAATACTAACAATAAAAGAAACATAATACCAAACAATTTTGTCGGCGCCGACAGAAAAAAAGTCTCTAGAATTGCTTTTTTTTGTCGATGTAACACAAAGAAAGAACAACAAAGCAGTGCTTTTCCAAGTCCCCATATTGAAAGAATAGGCTCCATTAAATGTGAACCCACCGCTGTGAGTTTGCTTTCCGAACTGCAATTCTTCATGAGCAACATGCTGAGATTGGACTGAATCATGTGGAGTTCTACATGGTGAAAACAGAACGACGATAACTCGACAAAAGCAAAAGAACAAACGCTTGCAGACACTTTCATAATGACACCTCAGGAAAAACCAATAACAGTTTCTGATCCCGTAACTATTCTTAATATAAACACATTTCTCTTCCTTAACATCACTGTTCACTCGCGACTGCATCTGATCATCAACTCCACGTCGACACTTCCGCCCACCTTGGCCCCAAAGACTTCGAGATGATTGAACGTGAATACTGATTACTCATAAATATCTCAACATATCATTTAAACTATGATCGTTTTGAACACAGTATGTACACTGTACAAAATTGATTTTTCAAAAAAGTTATAATTCTTTAGTCTTTGTTTTTAATGCTTTTGTCGTTTCCCACAGAAGAGAAAAAGAAAAAAAAACAAAAAACAAATAGCAGTCTCTCATTAGCAGATGAATAGCATTATTAAATAAATATCTCCAAAATTATACATACATCAGGTGACTTTTTTTAAACACTTCTTTAAGCACTACTCAAATGGAAGATCAGCAATTCAAACAAATGTTAATGATCTTTTGGTAACTTAAAACACTGCATTATGTTATATAAGGTTAGTTTGTTATGAAGGTGGTGGATAGAATGGTGTGACGTTAGAAACTGGAATCTAAGGCCATGTTTCTACCAGCTAAAGCCAGGCACCAGGTGGAATAAATGGCAGTGGATATTGCAGTAACTTCTCCTCCCTATATAAGTCCAGTTTCTAATGGTACGCTTCTACAGACGACAAGCAAATCACTGTAGGCCAACACAGTAACCTGTAATATATTGGACCAACTGGCCTATCCAGGCTCCGCCCACGAGCATGTTCTTTCGTAGCAACTCTTGGGAGGTTGGACAAGTTTTACAGAATGCTGGTAGTTTAACTGAATGAGAGCTTGTAGTATAAAAATTGTCAGAAATATATATATTTATCAGCTTCTAATGATATTATTTTACACAAGTGTGAAAGTTCACATTGTTAGGATATTTTAGGTGTAGGTTTTGTACAATCGAATGTTAACATCAGTGGCCCAAAGAGTGTTTGGAAATTTATGCCAAACCAAGGGTCATTTATTTTAAACAGATCGTTCCGAAACCTTACAAAAGATGGCTGCTGTGTTCTAGACTGTTTGAGCAGTTTCTCTGTAGATTTCTGCAGGTTTGCATCCAAAAGGCCTTTGTACACTTCTGATGTTCATCAGTGAACGCAAGAACAATGATATCATTGCTGGAAAACAGCCACAATGACTCTCAGTGCAGTCAGATTTGAATTCTTCTCCAGACTTTCTTCACAAAAAGTCTTCCATCAGTTTAATTTCACACTCAAAGAGATTCTCTCACTTTTAAACATTTTAAGAAGTCAAAAAAACTTCATTAAAGTTTACCAAGTGTCCAAAAACTTTTTGTGGCCACTGAATTCTGTTGCTGTTTCCAACCTGCTTTGTTTTGTTTAGCTACAGTGACATAAATCAGCTTAACAATTCAGGTCATTTTTAAACCAGAAACTCGTTTTGTAGTGACTCCACACATACAATGCAGCGATCGGACGTGAATAAGTATGTACTCTGATGCTTGTCCAGCAGAGCAACAGTTGGTATGAAAGAACACATTTGTGGGGAGACCAATTTACCATAAGCTTCACTAATCAACAGAAATTAATTTATACTTTTTTCCGTCTTAGACTACTCATTGTTTAAGTCACACATTTGGACAGTAGTTGCTCACAAAGACATTAATTAAATAGGATTTCAAGCTTTGAAATGCTTTTGAACATAAGCTTCCATCGTCCTGTTACACTTACGCACTGGACACAAAGCTGTCCATGTATTATTCAGTGTGAGGGGCCAAATTTGGAACAAGGCCTAAAGAATGTTTCTCTGGCCTAATTTATCTAAAGGAGAGAAGCCGACATAAAATATTATGTTAAAAGTAAGTGTAAATCACTGCTGTGCGATTTATCCAACTCTTTTTTTTTTTTCTTCCCCTCCAACAGCTATACAGCACAATGACCATCCAGAATGGAATGTCTTTTTGGCTTTGAAGAGAATAACTCACTCCATATCATCAATTTCTCAATTGCTCTAGAGCAAACTGAGAACCTAAGTTTCTACCTCACTACAGAACACTCGCTCTGTTGGCTTGGGCTTTCCTGCACTTCTTGCTAGTCTGTGGCTTTTTATCCCGCTAAACAGGACAAGAAGCCCCCTCACAAGTGTCACAGCAGTAATGACGTCCCTGTGGGTTCCTTACTTTAATTATAATAACTAAAAAAAAAAAATACACATTGCAACTTCTCCATTTTCTTCGTTCCTTAAAGCACATAACACCAGTAAACAGCACATATGCAGCATGTTTACAGCGTGAAAACGCAAAGTGGATCCTCTCTAACCCGTCTGATACACATGAAACTCGTCTAATTCAGTTACCAACTGCTGATTAAACTCATAAACGAACCATATTTTCTATGAGATAGATGCCATGCAAAGGGCAACTAGCACCCAATAAACCAAGATTTGAAACAGAAAACAGCCCGGGTAGCTCTAGTGGTAAAGCCTTTCAACGGACTGTACAGGCAAACAGCTGGGGATCGTGAGAGACTGTATTTTTGGGCCGTTATGATTCCTGTCAGGTCAGATGCTTCTTTGTGCTTCAGAGAGGACGGTAAGGAAATGAACAGACTTCAAAATAAAAGAAAGGAATGTGTAAATCATACAAAATAAGTTCTGAACGCTTCCTAATTCAGAATGCCAATCACGTAAGACACACTGAGAGGTGCTGGAATGTTCTTCCTCATGTGAGACGTTGCTTAAGGAGTCCATCTGCAGCTCGAATAAACCCCCCCCTCCCTCTTAGCCACAGGTTCAACAGTTCTCCTGCCCTGGTGTCTCGTATTTACAGCAGCTGTCAGAACAACAAAGACACGTGTGGAAAGTGAAAAGCTTCCTGGGTTGGGTGGAGCACTGAGCAGATGCTGCGTCCTCCCAGGAAGAAGAGGCTTTAGTGGACAGTCTCTCTCTGTCGCTCTGCAGTTTTTCAGCCTCCTCTGCTGTTAGGAAATGATGGCAGGAGACCACCGCACCACTGTCAGATTGTCCGCACTCACAGACCGCTTCTTAGCTGCTTTTCTCAAGTCTTTGTACTTGTCGTCACAGAGCCTGGAGATAGCCTGCGCATGATAAAGTGAGAAAGACAGAGACAGAGTGAGAGAAAGAAAACATTTTGCAGGGCCAAGAGGTACAATGAAATGTGACTGAAGCACTATTTGGGTGCAACTGTGGTATTTTACAGATTCTCACGGACAGCCTGAACGGAAAAGTCTGAAATGTTCATGTCAGAGTTACACAACAGGCACCGCACTTAACAACAATAACAACAAGGTGCACAGCTGTGTCTGTTGGCAGGTTTCATTATATTGCTCTGAGATGGACTGGAACAGGGTTACCCAGACCACACACAGACATTTTGTGGGGGGGGGCTCAAAGGAAAAAAGGCAACCTGAATTGTGAATAAAATTTAATATAATGCAGAAAATTCAGAGTTAGGACAGTGTTAGATACAGATGTTCTTGTCAGACTAGAAAATTGGGTAACACTGTATTTGGAGTAGTCCTTTGTAAATGATTAACAGATTAACAGTAACACATCAACAACGTATCAGTGAAGTGTCAGTAGTGGATCATCTGAATACACTGAAGTAAATATCTTGTAGATGTTCTGTTGATACATTACTTACATTAAGTAGATGTATAGTTAATATGTTACTTCCATTATGCAAAACCCAACCTTACCCAAAACCTAACCCTCACCCTGGCCCTAATCCTAACCCTAACCTTAACCTCAACTCAAAACCTAATCCTAACCCTCATATGTTTTTGACATGTTACTGAGAGTCTGTTGAGTGTTGGTTTCATCTAAAAGGACCACTCAAAATAAAGCGTCACCGGAAATTGAACCAGCAATCTCCCATTTCTGTAGCATTAGCGTCGTCCACTACTCTGACATACTTGGTTAACTATCTGAGGTGTCAGTATTTGAATACTGAGATCACAATGCAGGTATTTACTACATTTAATCACTGGAAGACCAAGGAAATATATAGATCAACGATTCACCTAAATGTCAATATTATGTTTTAACAAAACTGAAAAACATCATAGTTTTGCTTGTGTTTGCTAGTATGTTGTTTTATACTTTGCTCATCTAAAACACAAGTGCGTTAATAAAAGCTTGTTGTCATTGTTGTTAAGGAAGTGACTGAGAAGGCAGAGATAGCACAGCTTTTATCACTAAATAGGCTAGGCTGGTGTTGGGTATGGAAACGGTTGAGACATATTTCTCTGACAAACAAACATGTTGCCACATCTTCCACTGAAATGAAAAAAGAGAGAAAAAAAAACCTGTAGGAGAAAAAGAGTGTCCTTTGGCGTCTAGTGTCAAAAACATGTTTTTAAATGCTATTTTTTGCGTAACACCAGTGCTGCATCCATTTTTCCTTTTTTTTTATGCAGTTAGCTGAATATCTGTTCCTGAACTCACATCCCTACTCTGATAGCTACAGAACTCCATACTGCCTCACATAACTCCTCAAACAATCTGAGAGGAGAAAGGCAGAGTCTGAAGCCTCCTCTGGGGTCTATTTGTTCATGTGCCTGAGGACTACTATTACTATAAGTGAGGAAGCACTCCACTGTTATTACTGCCAGACTGTAAAAACTACAGTCATTGCAGATTGAAACTGGATTTAAATCACAGTTCTTTGGTAACTGCTTAAATTATAGAACCTCCCTAGGTTAAACTAATTCAGCTAAATAGGGCTTTAAAAACACACCTTATTGCGAAATAATGCCAAAACTGTTGGGCAGAGAAGTTTGAAGTGGGCAGAAGGCGTCTTTTCGTGATATGAAATCTACAAAACTTGGGTTTGAAGAAAGAACACAAAGTAAAAGTTGCTTGGTTAATTTTGGGGTGGTTGATTGTGGGCAGGAGGATCACGACAGTGCACTGCTGCTGAACCAGAGTTAGGTCTAGCCCAATTACAGCATGAGACATGAAGAGAGTCAGGATCAGATCAGAGGGCAACCACTGACTGTGTCCCCCAGCCACCCATCCACCCACTAGCAGCCCTGACCACACGCACACACCCACAAACAAACACACAATCAGCATCATTAGCAGCCCGTTCTGCCAGAACAGCCGCTGGATCAAGGCTGAATTGTGTGAGAAGAAACACAGGAGAATGCTGGATGTGTAATTGCCTCGTGTCTCTCCCACTATAGCGCTGTCATAGTTTTCACCCACTTCATAGCCCTCCATAACTGACATCCTCCATCATATAGAACATGTTTCTTAGGTTAACAGTAGTTTAAAAGAAAGGAAATGCTTGCGGCATGCCGCAGGCAGAACGGAGGGATGTTCTCTGCTGAAAATCTCTCTCCTGTAACAGTGTAAATAGCAGGGCTGGGAAAAAAACCAGTGAACGGTGCTGACAGGGTCAGCATAACCAAGTTAGAGGAGGAGACAGCCCAGTGGTTGATATATGAAAAACTTATAATGCTCAAGAAAGTGGTTGCATTACTCGAAGTCCTGCCATAAAGAGAATCAGTCACCTTGTTGGAAAAGGCTTTTGCCAGTTCAAATTAATTTTTAATGTGTTAGTTTAGCTATCAGTATGGGGTTTATAGGTCATTAAGACCAAGACGAAGGAAACAAATTGCTTCCACCAACTACAAGTGCGACCAAAAATCAAGAACAGTCTTATCAAGGAAAAGGTGCAACACTTACTCAATAACCAACAAATACTCTTTATTTAGTTCAAATTTATTTTAACAGAGGTCAAAACGTCATGTTTTTAACTATGTAAGGACTACATCATGTTTTTAACTACGTATACAGTTTCTGTATAGAGTGAATGCTGCACCTTTTTCTCTCTCCTCGTTAAAGTAAATAGGAATCTGGTCTATATCTATGACTGGAAATAACCGCTAGAAATAACTGCATGTTGTCAAGATGGCCAGAATTTCCTATAAGGACTCTAACATACCCCTGCAGCAGAAACCTGAGCAAATGTACAGATGTTTGTGCACTTACTTCTAGTTTCTGGGCCTTCTCTCTGCTCAGAGGCTCCAGAGGGGTGCTGAGGTTGTTGGCTTCGGACAGCGAGCGCAGGTCAAAGTAGTACTTGGCATACACACTCGATGGCACATTGATGTTGAACTGCAACAGCTCCAGAAACTGCCTCTCCAACTCGTTCCTAAATCAGACAGAGAGCCAGACAGAGAGACAGACAGAGAGAAAGTCAGAGAGAGAGAGAGAGAGAGAGAGAGAGAGAGAGAGAGAGAGAGAGAGAGAGAGAGATAGAGAGAGACTTTTAATATTTTCTTCAGAACTGTGAAATAATTCGCACAGAATAATTATCCAGTGAAGAAAAAAGTTTTAAAAGAGAGAAAAGACTGATAGAAAAAAGCACAGGTAGACAGACGGACTTACAACTTTCTAAATATATAACAACAGTAAAAATAAAGACAAAAGAGGGCGATAGATAGATAGATAGATAGATAGATATAGATAGATAGATATATTTAAAGAGAAATATATTAAAAATTGTTTTATTACTCAAAAAAAATTAGGGAAAATAAGCAATTATGAGTCTTAAAATCATATAAAGTAAAAACAGAGATCAAATAAAAAAGTAAACATCAAAAAAGACTGAAAACTTTAATTAAATGCTAACTTAAAGAGGTACATTTTAAAATGCCTCTTAAAAGTGTGCTTGACTGTCTAATAAAAGGCGGAACTGAGATCCACAGTTTAAAAGCATAATAACCAAAAGAGCCTCTCCATATTTTCTGTGTTTTACAGAAGGTGTTTGCAGAAGGCCAGAATCTGCAGATCTAAGATTACATGCTGGAACATAAACAGACAGACAGTGAGGTACGAATGAGGGCTGATACGAGCTCTCTTTTTTGTTTTTGTTAGGATCTGTGCTGCTTAATTTTGTATGAATTGTACAGGTAGATTGTTTTTTTCCAGAAAAAGAGCAATTACAGTAATTGTCTCTGTAACAAACTCATGAACAAGTTTCGCTCTGAGACAGAAAAGGCTGAACCTCAGCAACATTTCTCAAATGATAAAGACTGTATTTACATACAGGATTCCCACTGTTTCTGGACCTAACCTAACTAACATCAGCTACAGTAGATAGCCTAGTTAGCAATAAAGCTGTGAAACATCTTTCTTCTCAGTTATGTCCTAAACAATGCGCACTTGGCAACGTACTCAAATCCAAGCACTTATGGTTGGAGTCTAATGTACATACTTACTTACAAATATGAGCAAAACGGACACATTTTACAGTCCTGTTATAATATAAAAGTGAATTGTTGGTCTGTATGTTTTCTGTCTTCCTGAGCTAAAACTAAACCAGTACCAGAATAAGTACTTAAACAGAACACTCAAGATTCTGTGCACATGCCTAATAGACAGATGACAGACCTTTACTGTATTGTCATACACCATAACTATGCAATAACACATACAGAATTATTCAGCGGGCAAAAAAGTGTTGAGAAAAAGAAACACTGTCTTTAGCATTTGCATTTTGGAGAGTCATGCGCTAAAGTGAAATGTGCCTTAAACACATTTTTAGTGTTAGAATACACCAAGAATATCCCTTCACTGGGTGAGATGAACTGCGCTTTTGACAACATAAACGAAAAAATAAATAAATAAATAAATAAAACCTCTTCTCCAAGCCCACAAACTCTCTTCTAGAAGTGTCGCTGTAAAGGTGAGTTTTAATGTGCGCAGAATTTTTAACCTGTTTTTTGTAGCTCACTATGCTCATCCAGCTTCTGGATGTAACAAACTGTCCTTAGAATAATCTGAAGGAAATTACATATATATAAAAATAAAATTATAAAATGAAAACAAACAGCAGATGCAAGCCCTAGTACAAACCACAGCCATGGAAAACACCTGTTGTCCATATGAACTGAATTCGCACTGCCCACTCTCAAGACGTGTTTTTTTTTTTAATCACTAATGAAAATTCTTATGGTGAAACTGTGTTGGTTAAAACATGTCTTTGCTTTCCACCCACATCAACATTCAAATGCAGCAACAGACAGGCTAAATATAGCGAGCAGTGGAGGCTCTGACACACACACACACCAAACTTTTTTCCTAGTCCTCCTCTCTTCCTTCTCTGTCTCTGAGGAGAGTCTAATGCATTCGTTCAACTCTTTCCTCAGTTACTGGATCCGTGGCTGGAGCAGCACGCCGCCTGGCCTTTAAAATAACTGTGTACTCAGGAGGGGTCGGAGGTCAGTGGATGCATCACGCTCAGAGGCTCAGCTTTCACTCTGTTACATTTCCCACAAGGATTCCACGCTGCTCTTTTCCATACTCTACTATCAGGCAGTTTAAACGTAGTAATGCCTCTACTGTCAGACCTATTTACAGTCTGAATATTTGGAGGTGCCATAAATATCAATCACTTATGCTTTTAACTGTAAGTGCACTGATGAATACCGATTATTTATCATGGCATTCAAATGCCATGAGGACTTTAGTGAGCAAGACATGTTGGGAGGAAAGCATAAAATGTGTCTATATATAGTCAATTATTGCGTCTATATATGTGTGTGTCTATACACGTCGTCAATTATTCATGCTTTCAAATAAGGCTGGGCAATTTCATGATATATTAGAGTTACTGTTACAGACTACATCATGATCTGCTTTTCTGCGTATAAAATGAGAATCCTCAGGACTTCAAGAGCGATGAACAACTTGTATTTAACTTCAATTTTAGTTTCAATTAAGTATAAGATTTAGATTAATTATATAAACTACTACTACTACTACTACTATAATAATAATAATAAATAAATATTATTATTATTATTTATTAAAACAGCATTTTCCCAAGATCTCAAATCTCAAAGTGCTTCACAAAGAAATATAAGGAAAACATTGAAGAACTAAAATACCATGGTCTAACTGAAATAACAGCACAGTCACAAAAACACCTTCCATGCTTTATATATATATGTTTACATGTAACTGTGTATTATGTGCATAAAACCTGTAAAGGGAGAACAGCTCTAAAACTGAGCCCTGTGGGACACCATATCACATTCTTATATGTTTAGAAAATTCCCTATTTACACAAACAAATTACAATCGGTAAGTCAAGTAGGATCTCAACTAGGCACAAACTTGTCTAAGCTTATCATGTACAATCATGTTTGAATGCTTTGAAACCTGGACTCCACTGCAGCAGTACCAAACATGTCTTGGCAAACTGACTACATGTGGGGAAAACTGCATTTGATTTGAAGGGACTGGTTCTGGAAATATGGAGATCTACAGAGCAACCTCAGGAAAGATTCAGGTGGAATCATTGGATAAAGTCTTGAGATTGAGAGGAGCCTGACTAAACACACAGTAAATGAACACACACACACACACACACACACACACACACACACACACACACACACACACAAAACAAACCCACACAGACCACACACACAGGGTCACTCACATGTCCTCCACGGTGATATCTTTGAGGATCTGACAGTAGTCCACATTCCACACGGCCTGGTCATCCCACACTTTAGACGCCAGTAATATGGCTCCCAGTACGATTCTCTTCCAGTTAGCAGGACAGATATCAATCTCAGCGTAGGTTAACAACCTCTCCAAATACACCTGAGAGAGAAAAAGGAGGGAACAAGGTGGATATATCGTCAAACATTTTAAGTCAAATAGAGAAATTCATAGGATTAATATATTAGATTTCAACACTGAAGAATAAGCCCGCAGCTATTAGGAATGAACAGAGGTTAATATCTCTGACTACACAATGAATTTGATTATGGTTCTTTAGGACATTATTCAAAGCTTCTTGAAATCTGAAAAAAAAATGATTTAATTAGGCTGGTATGAGAGAAAACAAAAACAAAACAAGTTTGGAAAAAAAAAATTGGGAAAAAAAACAGGAGCATGTTTAATATACAGACTTGAAAAAAAATCAGTTGGACTGTCAGGGGATGTTCTTAAATGTTTTATTCTTATTTAACTGGTATAAAATATTGTACTACTGTTGATGACCATGTAGCACCATAGAACATTCTTTATGGTGTTCCACAGGGGTCTATTTATGGGCCCCTTCTGTTTCTACATATGTTGCCACTTGATCAATTTATTAAGAGATATTCCATTAACCTTCGATGGCTGCAGATGCCACCCAGCTAAACATATTTAAGAAGCCAGAAAGCACAACTGCCCTAAATGCTATGATTGACTGCACAACCAGCATTGTTAACTGGATGAACATAAATTTCCTTAAACTTTATGAAGATAAGAACTCTTCTTGTTGGGACTAATACTAACAAAGAGAAAATTATAGGAAACTTAAGAAATCTGGGCACACATGCTAAACTGGTAGTGAGAAATCTGGGTGTAGTTTTTGATTCACTCATTCTAATATGCGTATTCTGATGCTTCATGTGTTTCTTTACGGCATCCAAATTTAAAACCCAAATCCAAGCTAGATGACACTGGATGCCTAAAAAAGTGTGTTTGCATAACTGAATGCCTAAGGTCAGTGGGTATACAGGTCAACAGTGGGTATACACCTGACCCAAAACATTCCTGGTCCACAAATATCTCAGACAAATCAATCACTGACAGGCAGGTTCTGGGACTTAACACCAATCCAGATATGCTGTAAATCATAGGCAATCTACATTTCTGATGAACACTTTCTAATCTGAATCAGAAACTGGCGTGAATCTGACTGGAAATGCCACTGAAAAGCTTTCCTGCTCAAACAGGATATGACAAAAATTAAATTTGAGCTGCCTGTTTGAACAAAGTCTCTGACGCAACATCAGTCTGTAAGAAAGAGACAGAAAACAAGAACAGGGTTTAATCCTATGGCTATAATAACATATTGTATTGAACTGTACAGCAGCATATTGTATAGTATCACTGTACCATGACTAGCATGTTAGCTTGGGACTACCATAAGCTTATGAGCATTAAATGAATCGAGAAATCACTGTATCGTATCAAATTCAATTCTTAACTTTGTGAATCAGTACACCTCTATTTGATACTGATGTATTTCACACAATTTAACAAACACTGAAGCAGGAGGTGAGATTATTAGTGCAGGTACAAATAATTACAGACACAAATTGATCATGTCTCATACACACCCAACACAATTGTACAGACTGTATTTCTAATCTTGTTTATTCTCAATAGAGACAGCAGAAGGAGAAAAATAACCAGGCTGAAATTCTCAGTGCAGCCTCATAAATGTTCAACGAATATTAACAGCTACTGACAGCCTTAATATCACTGCTTACAGCTATAGCATACAACCCTGAGGGCCAATTTAGTCTGATGAGGAGAACATACAGAACCAACACTGACTCCTATCCTTCCAGAATGGCTGTATAAACTGTCTGAAGAGTCTGAAAACTACTCCAAACTGAAACTACACTTAAAAAAGATGGTTCTTTGAGTAAGGACATTGGCTCTATTTAGATCCTTGAAATAGAATATACTGGGAGCCAATACACACAGCTGGCCCAAATCATTCAAACAGGTCAACAGTACAACATGAGAATATTACAAGAGGGAGTGGTACTCTACGCATGCTAAATGAGCAGTGTTGTAAAAAATCAGATATGCACAGTTTTTCCCTTACCTTACATGTAGATGATCAGCAAAGACACGTTTGGTGTCAGAAGTTTGCTTCTTTAGTTTTGCTTTGGAGTTATGAGGCTAATGTAGCTAACAAGTAACGCAAGAGTGCTGTATTCTGTACAGTACTTCGGCACATTTCGGCACTTTTTAAGTGAGGCAGTGGTGTGAAGCTGCGCAGCTGAAAGGAGTCTGCTAAGGTAACTTAGCTGATGGTGTAAACTTACTGTGTTTCATGGTGATAATTCATTGTTTAATATTCGTTTAAGTGTTAATTATGATGTTTAAAATGTACTAAAATGCATTTTAACTGGCCGTGAAAGTTTTCTCCACCCCATTCACATTCGCATCCCTGGGTTTCCCCACCCGCCATTTTTGGGTCGCGTTGGGGGTCGGTCACTATTTGCATAGATTTGATGTCCAAACCCAGCTTAGATGGTCTTGCCAACCGATTTGATGGAAAAAAGGATACATGACAATGTCTCAGATGTATCGTTGACAAATGTCAAGAAAGTGGTTTTTATCACACAAACAGGAAAAGTTGCAAGTGGAATACTGAAGTATACGGAATACCATGCTCTTACGTTAAAGGAAGCTTAAGCACACTAATTAACATTGTGCAAATTGCATGCCTAAATCATCATCACACCTTAAACTGCACCAAATTGTTAAACAACTATACAGACTTGCTTACAGAGTTCAGATGAAAGGATGTCCCTATAGCTCCAGTATTAAACTTCAGTAGTAAAGAAGTAAAGTTTGAACATGCTTTGGCTGATAGACTACATTAGTTTGTGAAAACTGTGCACATTTTCGCCCAACTATTTCATTATAGACCATGGGCTTTGGAATGCATAAACACTGAGTGCACAAATAGAGGGACAGATATGAACAAAAGCAGCCTTGTGGAATGGAGCATGAACACAGTGCAGGATATTGCAGAGGGGAGTGAAAATGCATCTCTATATATGCTGAATATTAACTGAATATTAACTGAATATTAACATCAATGAAACAACATTGCAGGCTTCAGAACTGAGCCTGGAAAAGAATGACATTCTCCAAACACACCTTGTCAGGACATGGGGTCATTCGTGCATCCCATATGTATTATATAAGTACCTACCTATAAGTAATAATTTGCCCCCTATGTATTATATCTACACAGTACTGCACAAAAGTCAGACACCACTGTTCACTTATTGAATTTCCAGCCAAAAGAGCTCTTAAGTAATATAGTTATTAATTTATCAAGATAAATTTCTGAGGACATGAGATAATGCTTTTCTATGAGGAAGAGGAAAGTTAAAGGAAAATAAGTAGCTAAAGTAACAGTAGCTTTGGTAGACCACCAAAAACTGTCCCTATCTGATAAACAGCACTTAGAGCTTTCATCTTTGAGAGAACAGAGAAAATCAAGCTCCACTCTCAGTGCAGATCTGAAAAAATCCACAGGTGTTTCTGTTCATTCTTCCACTGTGAGAAGACAACTCAGTGCTACAAGTCTTAAAGGATGTGTAGCTGTTAAGAAGCTGTTACTGAAAAAAAAAAGACAAAAAAAAGAAGAACATCTGGAAGCCAACGTAAGAAGCATGAACAATGGACTGACCACCCCCGAGTCCAGACCTCAACATCACTGAATATGTTTAGGATATAGCTGTGAAAAATATCTCTGCAAATATCTCTTCTGAAAACTTAAAGTGAGTCTCCTGAAAACAATGGAGGCTGTCATAAAGGTAAAAGGTGGACATGATAAATACTGATCTTATATTCCATAATTTTCTGTTAAATATATGCTTTGTTTTTTTGAGTGGAAATTAAATCCAACTTTCCCATGGTATACTAATATATGTAATATATATATATGTAATAATTTAAATTCACAGACTAACCTTAAATTTAACACTAACCTTGACCTCAATAACCTATAAGAAATGTTTTTGTCCTTTCAGTTTTAAACAATGAAACATTGAGCTTTTTTACAAAAAAGAACTACAAGCAAAGACAAGGCCAGGCAAGTTTACTTGTATAGCACCTTTCATGTACTGTGGCAACCCAAACTGCTTTACACAAACACAGAAAAACCAAAGCTTTAGATATTAATACAGTATATGACATCCTGTGATCTAGCACCTCAGAAAGGCTTTTGCAAAGATGAAAATTAAAAGAAAGTAGAAAGCAATAAAATCATAAAAGAGAAAAATATTTTAAAGGTAGAGAGGCCTAAATATTTACAAAGAAATGCAACTGTGATTATATTCCGGTCGTTTCCAGCACCCTAAGTGAGGAGGAGTGCCACAAGTTACCACTTTCAACCACTGAATAGCAGCCGTAACTGAACAAAATCTTACTCTGAAGTATGAACCTCAATCCTCGGGATACCCATGCTAGCAAATTTTCAAAACCTCTAAAGAGTTGATAAAACTTAAGAAAACATTTACATATCATATGAATCAAATAAACAAATAAGCAAACAAAGAAACCAACAAATACCATTTCTCTGCTCCTAACATGGCAGGTTTCCCCTGTTTTTCCTACAAAGGTGGGGGTATTTCAGTCCTGAACGTGTACACACATGCACACACAGCCAGTAACAGTGCTAGCTGCAGTGCTCTTAGAGTCAATCCAATATCAGCCCCTGCTCCCTTCATTGTTATGCAGCCAGTGTCAAACGATTCTGCTCTAATTGCAATCAGTCCATTCTCTAACTCTCAGTAGAGTTGTGCAGGTGTGTGGGGGGAGAGGATTGGGGGGTCGCCTGTGGGCAGCCAGAATTAATGTGTATGTGTGTGTGGGTGGGTTTGTCTTAATGAATAAAGTCTGTTTAAGGGAACCCTCATGTGCACTGCTGGAGTGCAACTCTAGGGGGTGCTATTTTGCACACAGTTTCAACGCCCACCATCTATTGTGGGTAAGATAAACAGAAACCCTGAAGAGAGCCCATCCATGGAAAACTAATTCATAACCAGGGCAAATTGGACACAAAGATCAAA